GGACTGAGGACCGTTCGTCATGCATCGGTTTTGAGCTCAACATGGTGTTAAATGGCGCCGATATTTTCAGGTCTCTCGAAATCAATCTTCAAGCCTCGACGCCCTATCTGGCCGCCTTCAATGTCCACACTCTGCAGCAATCAGGACAACAAGCTGCTCTTGCACGCACACTGGACTCGCTTGGCATTGATGCGTGCTGTGTGTCAGAAAAGGGAATTCAAGATGCAAGCACAGTGATTGAGCTAACCGGTCCGTCGGTCTCTACTCGCTTTCAGCTGCGCATCTCTGGTGATCCAGAGGCTGCTGCAGCGGGATGTGCAGGGATTGGTGTTGTGGTTGGTATTGGGCGAGATGGACCAAGTAATTAGAGCGCGAATTTACTGACCGGAAGGTTCGTGGTTCGAACCCGACCTCTGCCTCTCGACTTCCCCTGTCTAAGCGTGGGCGACCTGGCAGTATCCCAGCCCTCGTGCCTCCTTCGTGTGGCTTGGCAGCTAAGCACCAAAAGGATGCTGCGGCTGAACGATCATTTATTATTGTCCTAATTCACCGGGCGGAAGTATCGTTGCTTTACTGGATACCTATTGATAGTCACCTCTGCGCGGTTCGTCTGGCAACGTCTGTGAAGGAATATCACAGGCGGGAAGCTGATTGCTGTCTGTTCGTCGTGTCCGCTTACGTCCCAACTGACTGTAACTCCGACGCCGTCAAGGACAGGTTTTACGACGCCCTGAATGCCTTTCTGCGGCGAGCTAGGAGCTCAGATGTCGTGGTGGTTGCCGGAGATAAGAAAGCAAAAGTGGGCAGGCTTATCGCATCTGAGATTCACTTAGAAGGTCGATATGGATTGGACTCGGTACGTACAGACAATGGTGAGCGATTGCTTCAGTTGTGTGTTGATCTAAAGTTGTTTCTATGGAGTACTAACTTGCGAAATAGCTAAAGTCGTCTGACCTCCAGCGACATACCGGCTACAAATTTTAGTCAGCTCAGCCATACTTATATGTGGAGTTATTTCGCAGTGATGCTCCTGAAGCCGAATTTCTTCACAGCTAGCTTACTGTCAGGCACCAAGGCCTTTGTATTCTCGCCGATTAAACACTTGCTGTTGGTGTGCAACCATAGGGTGTTTATTGGAACATGTAGGGTTCGCTCACTCATGGGCTATTTGGAAGTGGTACTATTTCTAACGATAATATAATGTTTTTGAGATGAAACACTAGCTAACTTTTCACTCACAATGACCACTCCAGTGCAACTGATTGTCAAATGACTGAGCACTTCAAGGTAGGTGCAGCTGCCACCTTGACGTGGTGGTCCGAAACACTAGTTTTCACTCACAATGACCACTCCAGTGCAACTGATTGTCAAATGACTGAGCACTTCAAGGTAGGTGCAGCTGCCACCTTGCCTTGACGGTCCGGCTTGAGTGCTGCAGCGATCCCGCGGGCTACACTGGCAGGAACTTCGTTCCACAAGGTGCAATCATGCCAGGAAGGCTAAAGGGGAGCAGCCAGACCAAGAGCAGCGAGACCCCGTACTACGAGTAATCGTGCTACGAGGCGGTCTGGGAGTAAAGTCGTACTGTCCTCTGCGACAGGAGTGTGAAGGCAGTAAGGTGTTTCCCCCAGGCGACCAGCATGTTCATATTTATGGAAGCAGCGATGCTGCCTTCCCCTGAGGAAGGACGGGTTAGAACAGGTCGGCCCCAAAAACCGCACACTCCGATCGCCCAACGGTTGACCGTGACCGCCGGCGCATTATCCAATACGGTCGAAATACTTTTAAAACCAAAGAGCCCGGTGCTGCTCAAAAGGCACCTGCTGTGCGCAGCCGCATCAGGAATGAGACAGTAATGCCTTATTCCCTGCGCCCTCGGGTTAGGCCAACCCCCTGCAGCCGAGCAGGTCAGACTATTGAGTCATCGGCTCCGGGCAGGGTCCCCAAAGAAAACCCTATATTCTCCCACTGCCTCGTGGGTCAGACTTTTGAGTCAGAAGCTAGGGTCAGGGTCCCCGAACAAAACCCTACGTCATCCCACTGCCTTGTGGGTCAGACTTTTGAGTCAGAGGCTAGGGTCAGGGTCCCCGAACAAAACCCCACAATCTCCCACTGCCTTGTGGGTCAGACTTTTGAGTCAGAGGCTAGGGTCAGGGTCCCCGAACAAAACCCCACAATCTCCCACTGCCTTGTGGGTCAGACTTTTGAGTCAGAGGCTAGGGTCAGCGTCCCCGAACAAACCCTACGTCATCCCACTGCCTTGTGGGTCAGACTTTTGAGTCAGAGGCTAGGGTCAGCGTCCCCGAACAAACCCTACGTCATCCCACTGCCTTGTGGGTCAGACTTTTGAGTCAGAGGCTAGGGTCAGCGTCCCCGAACAAACCCTACGTCATCCCACTGCCTTGTGGGTCAGACTTTTGAGTCAGAGGCTAGGGTCAGCGTCCCCGAACAAACCCTACGTCATCCCACTGCCTTGTGGGTCAGACTTTTGAGTCAGAGGCTAGGGTCAGCGTCCCCGAACAAACCCTACGTCATCCCACTGCCTTGTGGGTCAGACTTTTGAGTCAGAGGCTAGGGTCAGCGTCCCCGAACAAACCCTACGTCATCCCACTGCCTTGTGGGTCAGACTTTTGAGTCAGAGGCTAGGGTCAGCGTCCCCGAACAAACCCTACGTCATCCCACTGCCTTGTGGGTCAGACTTTTGAGTCAGAGGCTAGGGTCAGCGTCCCCGAACAAACCCTACGTCATCCCACTGCCTTGTGGGTCAGACTTTTGAGTCAGAGGCTAGGGTCAGCGTCCCCGAACAAACCCTACGTCATCCCACTGCCTTGTGGGTCAGACTTTTGAGTCAGAGGCTAGGGTCAGCGTCCCCGAACAAACCCTACGTCATCCCACTGCCTTGTGGGTCAGACTTTTGAGTCAGAGGCTAGGGTCAGCGTCCCCGAACAAACCCTACGTCATCCCACTGCCTTGTGGGTCAGACTTTTGAGTCAGAGGCTAGGGTCAGCGTCCCCGAACAAACCCTACGTCATCCCACTGCCTTGTGGGTCAGACTTTTGAGTCAGAGGCTAGGGTCAGCGTCCCCGAACAAACCCTACGTCATCCCACTGCCTTGTGGGTCAGACTTTTGAGTCAGAGGCTAGGGTCAGCGTCCCCGAACAAACCCTACGTCATCCCACTGCCTTGTGGGTCAGACTTTTGAGTCAGAGGCTAGGGTCAGCGTCCCCGAACAAACCCTACGTCATCCCACTGCCTTGTGGGTCAGACTTTTGAGTCAGAGGCTAGGGTCAGCGTCCCCGAACAAACCCTACGTCATCCCACTGCCTTGTGGGTCAGACTTTTGAGTCAGAGGCTAGGGTCAGCGTCCCCGAACAAACCCTACGTCATCCCACTGCCTTGTGGGTCAGACTTTTGAGTCAGAGGCTAGGGTCAGCGTCCCCGAACAAACCCTACGTCATCCCACTGCCTTGTGGGTCAGACTTTTGAGTCAGAGGCTAGGGTCAGCGTCCCCGAACAAACCCTACGTCATCCCACTGCCTTGTGGGTCAGACTTTTGAGTCAGAGGCTAGGGTCAGCGTCCCCGAACAAACCCTACGTCATCCCACTGCCTTGTGGGTCAGACTTTTGAGTCAGAGGCTAGGGTCAGCGTCCCCGAACAAACCCTACGTCATCCCACTGCCTTGTGGGTCAGACTTTTGAGTCAGAGGCTAGGGTCAGCGTCCCCGAACAAACCCTACGTCATCCCACTGCCTTGTGGGTCAGACTTTTGAGTCAGAGGCTAGGGTCAGCGTCCCCGAACAAACCCTACGTCATCCCACTGCCTTGTGGGACGATAGATGAAATTTCCATTCGGATAGGGAAGGCCAGAGCAGCTTTTGCGAACCTACGTCACCTGTGGCGTAGGCGTGACATCAGCTTCTCTATCAAGGATCGAGTTTACAATGCTGCGGTGCGCTCCATATTACTATATGGATCAGAAACCTGGCCGCTGCGCGCCGCGGACGTCAAAAGACTTTCAGTGCTTGACCATCGATGTCTTCGGAGCATTGCCCGAATCTGGTGGGAACACCGGATCAGCAATTCTGAAGTACGTCGAATGGTACTCGGGAGAAATAACTCACCCTCGATAGATGAACTGATCACACTGCACAGGTTGCGCTGGCTTGGCCACGTGCTGCGTATGCCCGTCGACCGACTTCCTCGAAGGGCTCTTTTCGCCCAACCATGTGAAGGGTGGAAGAGAGCCAGAGGCGGTCAACCAATGACTTGGCAGCGAAGTGTGAAAGCCATTACCAGCAAACTCAGCTGCGCTGGTCATTGCCGTCTTCCTGGATGGGGACCCCGAGACGGACCACATCAATGGCTAGAGACATTATCAGACATGGCCCAGTCGCGCTTTCAATGGCGCTCGTGCATCCAAGCTATTGTCTTCAATGCATAGCTCCTTTTCCACCCACCCCACCCCCCTACCCCAAATCATACTGACAGTGTACCAACTTACCGGCTAGCGCCTGCAATGCGCAGCTACCTATCCCCTCCCCCAAATCATCGGTGAACGAAACTGCGGCAGCTACAACCACTGTACGACGAGTGCACGGTTATTACGGCTGACAGTGATGATGATGATGACGTTGCCATTAGCTACCGATGGCGCGGACTGTCGGTCGTTCTGAAACACATTTATGGATTCTGATCACGCACTCGTCCGGAGTCGCTTCTCCCTACGTTTCCGCGTAAGGCGAGGACAAATGGCTTGGCAACTGAAACTTGCAGGTCCGGATGTTAGGCGACCTAACCAGAATCGTCTTCTAGCGTCTTCCAAATGTCTCATCACCAGATGTGAACGCATACTGGAACGAGATTGCCACCTCTTTGCATGTTGCTTGGCATTTCGCCTGTGGCACCACCCAACCACTGGATATCAGACCGAACGGTGTCACTGTCTAAATCTCGGAGAACTATCCCAGCCGCCGCTGAACATAACTTGATGCGACGAATTATCAGACGTCAAGTGAAGAGGAGCGTGCAAGCTGACGGTGGATTGTGGTGCACACAGAACGCCAAGGAACTGGAAGAGGCCCAGAAAGCCGGTAATGCTCGAAGAGTATTTCAGTTGGTCTGTGTGACCCGTCCCCGGAAACCACCTGTGAGCGGAACCATCAAGCATCAGAATGGAACTACCATCTCGAATAAGAACGCCTCGACCGGGGGATTGAATACTTCGAATAAAAAATTGTGGGTACCAGCTGACGCTCATCTAGAGTCCACAGGTGAAGTAGCACCCTGGACGATGAACGCGGAACCACCTACGGCCTCGGAGGTTTACGACTGCATATGTTCTCTCAAGCGCCATCGAGCTCCTGGTCCGGATGACTTCCCACCCGCATTGTTCAAAGACGGATCAAATCCTCAGTCAAGTTTGTCTGATCTGTTTGCCTGTATTTGGGAAAAGTCTGTCCCAGACAAATGGGGAAAGTCAGTGATAGTGCGCGTAGTGAGCGTGGTAACCACATGGGGATCAGTTAGACCCCGGTCGTAACGAGACTGTCGCGTCAATTGGGCTCCGTCGCCTTACGTTGGCTCATGAGATACCGACCCGAGAGCAGCAAGCGGGATTCCTGCCTGTAGGGGTTGTGTTGACCAAATGTTCACACTCCGTCAAGTGCTAGAACAGCATCATACGTATAAGCGACCCACAATTCTAGTATTCCTGGATATCTGAGGCGCATTCGACTCGGTCGTTCGGTCTGCTCTTCTTGACACGCTTGCCCACCAAAGAATACCCCGGAAGTTTGGTAACATAATACGTTCTTTGTATACTCCGACCTTCGGACGTGTGATAGTGTATAGGGAGCTCTCCAAGGGCTTCCTTACACAGCGGTGTCCGTCAGGGATGCCCACTCTCTCCATTCCTTTTTAACTTCGTGACCTATGAAATAATGAGACGAACGCTAGGTCTCCAGAACCCTGGTGTTCAAGTAGCCTGTGAAGAAAACCTTGTTGATTTGGAATATGCAGACGACATCGCTCTCATGTTCGAAGGGGAGGAGAAGGCGCAAGTATTCTTGGATGAACCGACCCAAGCCATCCCGTCTTTTGTTATGCACTTTGCACTTACAAAGTGTAAGGTCATGCTCTTGGACATGCTGTCATTGAGCGTTCAGCTGTAGCACCCTTCCGGTGCCTAGCTGCCATGCCACCCGATGGAAGCACCACCCTGGGATACCGCCAGGTTGCCCAAGCCTAGACAGGGGAAGTTGAGTGGCGGAGGTCGGATTCGAACCGCGGACCTTCCGGTCAGTAAATTCGCGCCCTAACCACTTGGGCCATCTCGCCCTGGAAGTTGTATTAGTTGTGATAGTAGCGTGACGGATGAGATGAACCCACGAATCTGCAAGGCTTGGGTCGCGTTTGCTAATTTGAGACACTCATAGTGTCAAAGTGGTATATCCCTGAATCTCAAGCAACGTGTGTATCAAGCTTCAGTGTGGGCTGTTTTGTTTTACGGCTGAGACTTTGCTTGTTCGAGCAGCGGAATTCGGACGTCTTCAGGCGTTCAATAATCGTCCCAATACCATACCCCGTGTGGGTTGGTGTCAGAGAACCCGTAACAAGGCAATTGGAAAGTGCGTTTTCGGTTGTGCAACGGGTGCTTCTATTGAAGAATATATCCAGAATTAAAAGTTGCGTTGGTTGGGACATGTGTTGCGTGTGCCTACCCATCGTTTGCCGAAGAAAGTGCGGCTTTCCATGCCCAACTCAGAGTGGCGTAAGCAGAGAGGTGGCCAACCCTTGACTTGGTGGAAGGGAATGAAGTACGAAACGCTTAGGTGCTGTCGGTGCTACTCGTCTTCCAGGATGGGGACCGCGTGATCCCCACTGTGTCTGGTTGTAGGCACTACGAGATATATCAGTGGCGTTATTTTCATTTTCTATCTAGATTACCTGAGTGAATCACTGGAGATATAGGCACCTCGGAATGATTGTAGTAAGATAGCACTAGGCCCCTTCCCCGTCCATCTTTGTCGTTTCCTTTACAATAAGGCACTGAAGCATCGGTGTTGAACACTGATGTCATACTGTCGATGATGATGATGATGGTGGTGGTGATAGGGTTGTGACTGAATTCGGATACACAGAAGCTGTAGCTGAGTGTGTTGCAGGGCGAGCAAGACGATCATTCCTTGTGCTGGAACCTGCGAGGTAGGGTTAAAGAGCGAAAACGCGAAAGTGTAAGAAAGGAGGCAGCAGCAGTAGCATGTTTTCGCTTACCCACCCTGCTGTATGCAGCAATTAATGGAACTGGCTGTTACCACGTGACGGCCGACTGTTAGTTGTAAATCTCATCGTTGTATGTGGGCTGGGATACTGCCGCACATAGAGAAGAGGACGATTAGCGTCCTCAACCAAAGCCTTTGGCCCAAAAGCCTAACCGCAAAGCAGTGGTTTTGGGCTTGAAATGCAACTCTAACCCCCAATCCGGGGGACCACGAGACCTCTACCCATTGATCAACATGATATGAAAGACTGTATCGCGCGGACAATTCCTCCCCAGTATAGCTCAGTGGGTCGCCGAGATGCGCACACTGCCACACCACGGTATGGTCCAATCTTTTCGTGATGGTCCAAACACTCGGGCAAACAGTGACCAATTACCGCTAAGGGGCTTCGTGACAGCTAATAGAGAGTTGGCAGACTCTTCAGTTAGGAGTTGCCATTCTGTCCTGCAGTTATACATTAAAAGTATCGAACCCTTGTTTGTGGAGCTATTTGAACTGTGCGCGCTCCAACGCATGCATCTACACTGCATGGAATACTGAAAAATCCTGCGTGTTCTGGCAGACTCGGAACTGATGTATGCTGTCAGCGAGGTGAACTGGTGAAGTGGGAGCTACGTACGTAAAGGAGCTTTGGACTGCTATAAAACCAAATCGACTGGGTTTCATGACAATCCTATCTCTCTTACGGGAGCCAATACCCGATGTCGACTTCTATTGTTGGGTCCACGTTTACGAAAGCAACAAGATATAAAACCAGAGTATTCACGCTCTCCGAAGCTTAAATGTTGACCAATTTAACCGTAAAAGGGGCTTGAATGTATAGGGTATAAAACGGTAGTAATTACGCTTCTCTAAGGATGCCAAGACGAATCTCAAGTCACATTATACTGCAGTGGTCTCGCGAGGTACACAGGCTGGGGTTTTGTTCAACAATTTTGACCGCATTCAGTTGATGGTTTTTGGTCGGTTCTCCGAGCTTGGCAGCTGATTTCGTCACCATTCGAGGAACCATTTTCAGTGCGCTGAAGATTAATGCACTAAAGCTACCATTATTCCACCACATTATGAATATTAACCATGTTAGAAAGTCCATAAGGGAGAACTAGACAAAAAGATCCGAGCAGTAAGAAGCAATTTGAGGACGGTCGTATTGCCTTGAAAATAGTAGTTTGCAGACATCAACGCGTTTCATTCAGGCCCCCCAGAATGTCCGTATTCATGGAAGCACCGGCACTGTTTTCCCCTGAGGGAAAACATTTAAGGTGGTCACCCGCACGCATTATAGACAACAGCTTCAATGCATGGGTTCCAATAAATGCGCGGTGGGGACATGTCAGTCAATGTCTCTCATCGTTGATGTGTCTTATCTCGAGAACCTTGCCCGCAGAGAGCGGTGTGCATCATTCCAGAAGACCGTCTGCCTCACAGAGCTCTTTTTTGAGTCCTGTGCGAGTGGAAGGGACCGAGAGGTGGACAATGTACGAATTACTTAGTCGGGTGGGCAACTGCCGCCTCCCTGGATGGGGGCCCCGGGACTCAGATCACCAGTGGTTAATGACATTGGCCGAAGTGGCCCAATCGCGCTGTCAGTGACGCTATCACCTTCAGTGCGTAGCTATCCAATTTCTGAACAAACGGAACATGCCTTCGCCTCCAAGGCTTGGTTGTATATTCCACTTTCCCGTTTTCCGGTGACCGAAAGTGTGGCAGCCGAAAACTATGTGCCTATGGCACGCGGTTTATAGCTTATAAGTTGAATTGATTGATTGAGTTTTCCGAAAACCATTCGATTTACTTAGGATTACTGATCTTGCATTCCCTTCGGCCTCTGCCACTGCTTCGAAGACATCAGTGGTTAAGCTGAAAATTTTTAACGTCCTGAGCTCGCATCGACCAGGTTTCTGACTCGTAACAATATGTGGCGTAGCGAAGCATTGCAAGCTCGACCCTTGACAGATAAGCTGGTGTCATGCCTGCACCACACGTGATACATCCTACCAAAACTGCTCTGGTATTTTCGATCTGGTTGGAAGTGTCGTCTCTGGCTCGACCACCTGGCTACATCTAGTCACGTGAACAAGTTTGCCCACCACCTCAATCGGCTCATCCACAAGCTTGAGGCTCAGGTTACAGCCAAACTAGTCTTGCCTGACCTAAAGCTGCCACTGACGTGGTAGTTGGGTTTCTGTGCTGCAACGATCCTGCAGTCACATTAGGAGTCGCATGTTTGCGCCTTACTCCTTGCGCTCCCGGCCAGGCCAAACCCATGCAGTCAAATGGGTCAAACTATTGGGTAACTGACTCTGAGCAAGATCCCTCAAAAAAAACCTAACAACCGCTATCTTTCGATTCAAACTTCTAGACTCCCCTCTTCGTCCCAGGTAACCGGAAGGTATCATTTGCCCCTACAACTCATTCACTGACTTTTCCCCACACGTTCCTATCCCAAGTCCTAATTCAGTTGGCAGTTGCCTTGCATCTAAGCTCCTACCCAATAAAAATGTACCCTTATTAAATTCGAGGGATCTTTTCTACATTGTAGCTTTCAACGTCCGTACCCTCAAATTGGGCAACAGGTAGCTCTTTCCCAACTCTTGTACTCTCTTTTGATCGATGTATGTTGTGTCTCCGAAATACTCACACAACACCTGTTCGGTCATACATCTCAAACTGCTCGGCAATAACCCGGACTCCTTGCACTTTGTCTTTCGTGTGTCTGGTGGTCCTGATGCAGTAGTGTGAGAGTTATGCTTAGCTCCAGGGCTGAGTGCGCTTCACTCGATTGAGTTCCAGTTGACAGCCGCGTTTTCTTGGTCACGCCTGGTTCAATCAAGATAAATTCATGTCGGTATAGTAAATAGTTTGTTTGTCAGCATACGCTCGGGGATGACAGCAGTTCTAGGGACGAGAAAGACAACTTCTGTCGTGATTTTTCACGGATACTCCCGTCAGCGAAAAGCACACATATATCGTGATTCTTGCAGGTAATACGAATGTTCAGTTCCTACTGGATCGTGAAGCACATCTCGGCGGTTGATTAGGAGTTGACGCTCACCGCATATATATTCGGGAGTGACCTCGGTTCTCTTCAGCTGTAGCACTCTTTCGGTGCCTAATTGCCATGCCACCAGAAGGAAGCACGAGCGCTGGGATACTGCCAGGTTACCCGAACCTAGACAGGGGAAGCCGAGAGGCAGAGGCCGGGTTCGAATGACGGACCTTCCCGTCAGTAAACTCGTGTTCTAACCAGTTGAGCCACGTCGCACTGTATGCCCTGTAAAACAATGGAACATATGATGTCAGCAACAAACGTAACTGCAAGCTGAGGAACATCGGTCCGTACGACGAAGAAAGGTCCGCGGTGCAGATTTTCTATCGCAAGTTACTTAGACCTAAGTGATGGATACTGGCGTAGACGCAACTTTCGTCCACTTCGATTTAAGCAAAGCTCTTCTCAAGGTGTCTTCCTGAAAATTCGTCATCCTGGGGAGTTCGTGGGGAAATCTGTTGGGCGGGGGGGGTTATCTCAGGCTCACTATGGTTGTGATATTTGGAGACGGTTTATTAATTCCAGTAAGGAATGTAGGTTAAGTAATGAAATATTTGTGTCGGCATATTGGTCAAGAGTTGGACTGTGGTAATCACGTTAGCTTGAACTGCGACAGCCGTAGGCTTTTTTGAGAGACTAAGTTGTCGTCCTAAGTGCATTATGGCGCCTTGACAATATCTCGGCCGTTGTACAGATATGCGTTTAGCACCGTTACCCACCCTGGTGTTACTGTCAATGGCGGTTATAATCTGGCGGACTGTAATAGGCTCGTTATTGTATCACGGTCATTCCTTCTGTAAATTAAGAGCCGTTACCTATCGTCATGCTCTGGATAGCTTTTGAAAGTGGGCTGAGTGCTCCAAATGCTACAGCTCATTCTTTTTCATGTTATGTATCACACTAAATGGGATCAACCCCTCGGGCAACGATGCGTGAGGAGGATTGAATGTAGTGACCGGTTGACTTTAAATCTGCAGGTGATTCCTGAGAGGTGGTGTTAGGATGCTATGAGTCGTCAGGTTATTTTGATTGGTTTACACCGGACGTCCTACTTTCTATGGTTCCCATACATATGACCTACCACCTGCTGACTCATCAACTAATATTTTTTTCTGGTAGCAAGTTCGATTCTAAGGTTCAAAAGCAGTGTTGGATCTCCACCATCTAACTAGCTCTCAGCAGCTAAATCTATTTCCTCCAGCCTGCTTCGGGAAGGAGAGCATGTCACTTTTCGGGACCCTGAAACGATACTACTGGAGAGAGAGATGAGGGAACCTATTGCTTCCATGGGGACAAATTACCGGACCACCATCAAAACCAGAAGGCTGTGCTTAAGCCCGTCCACCCGTTGTTAGCACGCGTGGTCATTGAGTGGAATTGTCTTTCAGACCCACCTGGCACGAGAAAATCTGTCACATGAACCCTTGTTGTAACCCAGTCAGTCATTTTCACAAAGTATCCCGCCTAATCTCGTCCCGATGGTACCGACGCGTCCACACCAACTGATGTTACGATTACCTGTGATGTCTTGTCTAGCTGAGTCTCGCTGACAATTTCAGCATGATTAAATTCTGAGAAACAAATACGTAATTCATTACAGTATTCAAGCCTTGCGTTCGTCGTAGAATAGCAGCTGTTGGTTAGGGACTACCTTTAGGCACACCGATGATGTCGGAATCTTTTGAGAATCACATGCATTGTCTGTGTTTCATTGCAGATGCCAGCTCCAAAACGGCTACGGGAGCTCGTACGGGACATACGATCAGCCAGAACAGCGGCTGAGGAGCGTGCCATTGTTAATCGAGAATGTGCTCTTATACGAGATAGTTTTCGGGAGGAGAACAATGTCTACCGTTGTCGGAACGTCGCCAAGCTGTTATACATTCACATGCTTGGTTACCCAGCTCATTTTGGCCAGGTAGATTCGTCTGCATGAACCTGTGATTCCCTTCCTCTGTTTGACAATTATCCTTGCACTTATTTTGCTTGCTGTTTACTACGATTCAGGTCGTTTATGCACTTATCCAATCTGTAGAGCAGTACGTAACAGGTATGTGTTGTGACTTGATTGCTAGTGCAACTCTGTATCGGTCCCTTGGCTTCCTGCTCCACCCACTATGGTATATCAAAAGGCGCGGTAGCTCTACACAGCCCTTTCATGGAGACAAAGGAAAATGATCACAACTGTGTTCATAGGGTATTCACAGAGTGTTCCACAAGGTCGTGCCAGAATCTCCGTGAGAGAGCGAGGAGCGTCGAGTAAAAGGTTCTTGAACCGGATTGGCTGGCATTCTGGCCATTCAGGGCATGCCTTCGTTTGGCCCGTCCTGCACGTGACACATCCGTCCAAATGATGCGTTCGGTTATTAGGGACGACTGGCCTCCGTACAGTATGACAAGCTAACGCAAAAGGCAAGTGGCTACTAACTGACTTATTTGATCACCCTTACACGTGACTGATATTTCTGCTGGATATTCCACCTAACCAACTGTAATGTTGAGCATCTTACTGCATATCCGAACTGTCCAGCTGAAGTTTATCTGTCCTTGTGGTCTGAGATCATGTTGGTTGCTTGTTGTAAGGGTGCTAGACCAATCCTGCATTCAGTGGTGATGGTTGCGGATGACAGATCACGTCTTTGTTTTTCGACTGGCCTACTTAATGCCATCTTTGTTAATACTAATATGAATTCATTCTGCAAGTTATTCATGTGCATGTTCTAAATGTTTCCGGCACTTTGCACTTTGTCAACAGTCTCCGTTGATTTGGATGCGCCACCAGCTGCTTCAAAGCATTTTCACTTTATTCCTTCTGTGGAAAAGAGGGTATTTAGTGTAGTCTGCTTTTTTGCCCATTCGATGTTTGAGGATGGGTGGACAAGGAGCTGCACGGTTTGCTATGTGCTTTATATCTACAAACTGTACTGTGCTGCTAGAGGGCTGCGTGGGATCAAACTCGGACCCAATGCTTGCAGGCCATTCAACCTATTTGGTAGATAAATTCATTTACCTGAACCGAATTAGCGGTGCTAAGGAGGGCTAGATGGATGAGTTACTCATCGTCCCTCGTCCCACCCGCGGGGTGAGACATGTACTCTGCATGCTAGATGATCGTCTGATTCGCGGAGCTCTTTTCGCTCGTCCCTTTTCTGATCGGAAGCGACTGAGAAATGGACAGTATGAACTGGCAACAAACTATGAAAGTACTAGCCAATAAACTTAGTTGGGCCGACAGCTGGCGCTGCGCTGAATGGGAACATCGAGACTCAACTCACCAGTCATAATGGTATTTGCAGTTAGGTCTAATCTTGCAGTGAGTGGCGCTCATATTAACCTGTCATCTTCAGTGCGTAGCTGCCCAGTTTCCAGAATTAACTGGTCATGCCACTCCCTCCAATGCAAATCCTCGCTCTCCCATTTCCCAGTGAGCAGAACTGTAGCTGCCAGAATCAAAGTACCCTTGGTACGTGGTTTATAGCTGATGAACTGACCTCTTTCTTGTTCGCGTTCACATGGACCCTAGACGGCAGAACGGACTCCATTACGTTGTTTTTTCTTCGAGTATATTTTGATTGGTCTATGCGGCAATCAGCCAAAGCAACACGAAAAATCCTTTACCGAAACTTTGAAAGGAGCTGTTTGCCTGATTTGAAGCGGAAAAGGTATTGATGAGTGAAGATGGTGTTTTTGTTTATCCTGTTCGAAATGAATAATAACAATAGTCCATGTGTAACATCCCTAGCTGACATGCCACCCGAAAGAAGCACGAAGGAAGATGTCGGGTCCCTCAAACCTACAAAGCAGTCGAGATATCAGGATCGGAACCATGGACTTTTCACTTAGAAAGTTCGCATCCGAACCACTGAACTGTCTTGAGCTCTTACCGTGTTTGGGGAAAACGTTAACCACACGCTTTACGACATCAAAACCAATTTGCCGTCTCCGAACGTGAACAGCAGTCCACTAGCATTCTGGACAATACTGCTCTACTGCTATTAAGCTATGAAGAAGAGTTTATTAGAAAGTGAAAGTGACGGACAAGAAAAGCTCTATAGCCTGGGTAAACAGAAGACTTCTACAGTTTCAAACAAGCTTAAAGTGAACATATATAAGTATTCTATTTAATTGAACTAATGTCAGGGAGACTGACGAAGCCATCTTATTAACTCTACCTAGTGTACGTCCAGCGCACAATGACCGGTAAATGTAGTCTTTCCAGCCCAGCGGCGTGCTTCTCATTTGATGTGTTTTCGCGACGCCTGCAACGGTCCTTTGTCTTTTGTATCATCATCCATTGTGTACGCAAATATACGGTGGTCTGAAACAGCATGTGGGTATTCAGGCTAGAGTCCTTGAGCTGAAGCGAAAAGCTTGACTCAAATTGACCGATGTTATGACCAATCAGAGTGTGCCTTTGGGTCACCGAATGGATATGACGTTTGGTTCGGCGGCGGGTTAAGCGTAGTTCTAGTGCTAATCTATCTCCACGGGCATTTTTTGTGTTGTATAGCTAGACAGTTGAGGGGTATTGGCTCAAAACCTGCCTTTTGATGTGTGCTTTGACTCGATCCAGATAGATTTCAGAATGTGCTTATTCCATTCTGTCTACATGTACACATTGAAGTGGCGTCAATTTACGCATATTCTCTCTTACCACTAGTTGGAATGTCTCAAGTTAATCGCCTCGCCACGCTTCACCGACAAACGTGTGGGCTATCTCGGTGCTATGTTGCTTCTAGATGAACGAACAGATGTACATTTGCTGGTTACGAATTCTCTGAAAAAGTAAGTTTCTACACAACTAATTCGACCAGTGTTGGCGTTTGAATCTGTTGGCTGCCTTACTTGTTTCACAGCATTGCATTGTTTTGTCAGGAAAGAGCCCATCTTTGCCCCACCCCACCCCCATCCGATTCGGGCAGCATAGTACCCATTGAAATGTGTGGATTCCAAATTACCGGAATGGAGAAAAACGTATCCACGTTTTCCCACCACAATTCGCTTTCGTTGTAAAACCAATCTTTAATTCAGAAAATCAGTATTTTGAGTGAGGGCTACTTTTGGCGAAACCGATTGTCGAATTTGTCGGTGATGTGTCCGTAACCGACCGACTGAATATCATCTTCATTACCGGATTTACCGTCTCAAAAGAATCAGACCACGACGCACTGCATATTTGAAGGCATTCAAGATTTGGAGACGCCCGTATGGTTTAGCTGCCGGAAAGTCAGATGGAGGCTGAACTCAGTCCGATGAACGCGCTTGAAAACGAAATTCTGGTGATATATGGGGAGCTCGACGACAGCTCTCTGATTATGGGTTCAAGTCCGTGTCGAAGACTGTCATCAATTCCCAGGCCCCAGAGACCAACACTTATGGATTACCCCGTATCACACATAAGCTGGGTTTGGTGCATTGAGACTTTAACAACTGTCAGTGTTCTACACCTGAGGTAGAAAAATTGTGCTCCAGATCTTTGCCACCACTGCCGCTTGAATTTCGAGGATATCCTCTGCTGGCCCATTGTGGGTCTGCGAAAAGTTACCAGATTACTGGTTGTAACTCTCATACCTAACAAAAAGATCTTGAAATATCGTTTATTTGTCTGTACAGTCGTACTTTTGAAATTTTTTTAAGCCCATGGTAGCTCAGCTTTTGAGGCACGAAACTGCTTACCGGTAGGTCTGTGGTACGAGCCCAACCCTGGTATTTTGATTGCTCTTGTCAAGGCGTGGGCTCACGGAAACATGGCGATGTGCCATCGAATGATGGCGGAACGATTGCAAGCATATGCTAAGCTCAGTGACTAGACCAGCACACAATGAACTCACTCAGTCTAGCACCATTTTGCATCATCGGTAATTGTCTCCCCTTTTTTCCAAACGGCAATTTGATTTGCATTGAGGGAACTCACGATGACCCCCTTCAGTTATGCTGAAAAGTTATTGTTTGGCTGGTTCAGTCGTCTGTTTTCTTTAGCACAGTGGCTTGTTTTGATTGAGTTATGTTTACCGATGATCGTAATCCCACTAATGAGTGGAGCCTCTAGACCGCGTAAACACATGAAGAAAATTTGCGACGAACACGTCAATATGCGCTGTGCAAAGTTTATAGATTGTTGTGCGATTTACCCGGGAATTGAGTAGTGATCTAAGATGCCATCGATAACAATCCACACGAATCCTCCACAGAGCCCTCCATTCAGACGTGGCCATGACGACGGGGCATATGACTTGTAAGATGCTTATTTTAGTTACTAACATTGATCATGTAAACGGACGCTTCAACTTTTTGGTCCGAGCCCGCAGTTAAACCCAATGGTCTACTGTGATTGATTGACCGTCCGAATCAGCGATATCCACCCTACTGCAGGCCAGCTACAGTTTCGAATTTCCATTTCCCCTTTCCACAGATCTCACGCATTTTCCTTCCCTTTTTTCTTCCAAGTGATCTCAATCACCCGACAACCTACGTTGTCAGTTTGGCACTGTGTACGCTGGGCAGCATTTGTTCGGCCGAAATGAGCCGCGATCTTGCTGGAGAAGTCGAGAGGCTCACCAAGTCGTCAAATTCGTACCTGAAGAAAAAGGTAATCTTTAACAGTCCGTTGTCACTGCGTAAGCACTGGTTGATCCCGAGTTAACTTCTCCCTATTAAGTTGAGCACTTCCGAGGTCGATGTTGACCACAGTTTCGAATGTCACATCTATTTGGCTATCATTTAGCTTCACGTACAAACACGATATGAAGCCCCAACGGGGAAGCTCCTGAGTACAGACACTGTTGCTGAGGAAATATTTTTTACCCGTTAAACTTTCATGGTTTTCTTTTTCTGGGAAACACCCTTTCCTCGACCCGACCGGAAGACACAACAATGTTGCTGATTCATATCTACCATGTGACCATGACAGTATATGACTCGAGTTGTGACAACCTGACAGTATCCCAGCTGTCGTGCTTCCTTCGGGTAGCATGACACCTAGGCACCGGAAGGGTGTTACGGCTGAGAGATTTTTTTGTGACAGACTTCTGAACTCTCACGATGACCTATGTTCATCGAGTTCCAAGTAATGTGTTGAAATACATCTTTGTAGTCTGATATTCCGGATTTTGGCTTTATCACGGTACAAACGGTGTTCGTTTTAATGATCTCATGACATGGGTGTAGCACTAGCTTGTCACAGATGTGCAATGTTGTCGGAAATCAGATTAGACAAAGCAAATTAAACCAAATGGTCTATACAGATAACAGTTTAATCTTCATCCCGGCATTGTGCACAAACGAACGGTCTATGTCCGATTTATGCGCCTTGGCAACAACACCAACTTCGATGCGGGTCTTGTTTGAGAGCCTTTTTCACGAAGATACATAGTGCGTCTACAGATAATTCCAGCCATTGTTGCTGGACTTGTACAGTCGTGACAATATTGTTAGCTGATTCGGAAGAGATTCCATCTTTTCATTTTGTTCTAGCCGTGATCCTTGTGCACCATTGATCGAATACCTCCAGTTTTTGTATTTCCTCGCACCTACAGGGCGTTTCTCGAGTGATTAGAATTGTAACATAATTGTGTTTGTTGATAAAACTCACCCTGTTGAAACTAACATCTTTGCTTATGTTTACGCGATAGCCGTGATACAATGACGCATAAGATATACAAAGGAACCGTATGCAATCCATGGGTACTCAATAATAGTGCACAAACGAAGTGCACTTTTGCAGCTACTGATGCTCGGCTGTACACTTTCCAATCGAGAATTGTGTATGGGAAATTGAAAAGGGAGTAGGTGGATTCACGGAATCATTCTGCTATGGCATGCCTCCCATCCCTTCGTGTTTCTAATCTATTTCATCTGAATTAGATTGCTCTGTAAAAGGTAACGGACTTGGTTACGTTCAGCCATATTTGGTAAGCTATGAAGGGACGACATTGGTTGTTCCTTGTCCACAGTAATCAGCCCAAAAACAGCAGATATTTTGGCCGTATGGTCTCTTTTGAGGATAGCGTTCTCTTTTACGTTGGTGGAGGTATGTGCCGTCTGCTGTGACCGAACCAACGCTTCATTCAACGCGTTTTCCTCATCTGGAAGATGCTGAACTGAGCAAAAATGGCCGAGGATCTTGAGGTGCCTACTTTTAGGCCAGTCCTTTCGGTCGCAATTTAAATGTGCCTGTCTGACTAAAAACCGTGTCGCAACCACAGAGTAAGTTTTGGTACTTACGGGTTTCCTGAAACACTCGGACGAAATAACGCGAATGACTTAAAAATTCGCGCGTCACTCTTTACCAGGAATATAGATGTTTGGTGGGTTCAACCGGATATTCAGAAGAAAACCGGCTGGTTTTTCCTCGAGCGGACTAAAGAGTGCATTGATACAACAGCTGTGACCGACAGCGGCCGTTTATGTGTCGTGCTGACTGAGAAGCTTGACTAGCTTGTGCACCTAATCGATCCGACAACATTTCCATGCCTCTGAGAGTCGTTTCTGTTGGTTAGAGATGTCTGTCACAGCTGTGACCGATGCTGATTGGTCAAATGCGTAGAAACAAAATGAATGTTTTGACGATACACTCATGGAACTCGGACTACCTCACTGACCCGGAATCTATTTGCACACATCTATGCAAATGTATCCTTTTGTCCACACGCTCCTATCATCTTTCAGTTCAACTCTTGCCTTTCCATTGGTTGGTACAGGCCGCTCTCTGTGCATTCCAAATTATCCGCAAAGTTCCTGACCTTATGGAGATGTTCATTCCATGCACACGCTCGTTATTGAACGATAAAAACCACGGAGTCATTCTGGCATCGGTCTGTTTAATCCAGGAAATGTGTGAACGCAGTCCGGACACATTGATCTACTTTCGTAAAGTAAGTATGGATAAAGTGTACACTAGCCCATATCTGATCCTGCTCCGCGTGACTGTCTGCATTTATTTGTTTCATCGGGTATGGTCTACCGTTAGTCCATTATCCGCACTACCATTTTTACAAATATTTCGTCAGAACTGCACTTCTTACACCTTTTTCAGCAGTTGTTCAATTTATGGGTCGTGGGAACCACTTTAACCTCTTTTGTTCGTTTGGGTGACTTGCGCTTGTTTTTCACCAGTGATGCTAATATTCTTCCAATTCCTTTTTTTCGCAGCAGTTGGTTCCTATGCTGGTTCGAACTTTGAAGAATCTCATCATGACCGGTTACTCACCTGATCACGATGTGAACAAAATTAGTGACCCTTTTCTGCAGGTAGGTGGAAAATGCGTTAGCCAACTTTACCTGTCGGAGGCTTTCTTTGATCCTGTTCCAACTTTTTGTTAGCCCAATATGTTCATGTCACGCTCCTAATGGGGCGATATGGTTCAAGTGGTTAGAGCGCGAATTCACTGACTGGCAGGTCCATCGTACGAACCCGACCTCTGCCTCTCGACTCTCCCTGTCTAGGCTTGGGTAACCTGGCAGTATCCCAGCCCGCGTGCCCCCTCTGGGTGGCATGACAGCTAGACACCGACAGGATGTTATAGCTGAACGACTATTTTATTTTACGTTCCTAATGGAAATTGAGCCTGAAGCGCCATCAGCCGTGTGAATGTATATGGGGTCGCCAGAACGACGATGAGCCTTCTCCTTTTTTCCACATTTCCTTCAATGGCTAGATAAATCACCATGAACAACATGAATGGACAGTGAGGCGGGCAGACGTTCCCTTTCTGTCCACTCTAAAGAAGTTAGGGCTTTGAGAATAGACCTTTTAGTCGTGTTGCAGTAAACCGTCACTATCAACGCTGTTGTTGCTTTATGTGATGTGATGATGGTAATGGTACTACATTCGTGTGCACTCAACATTCTAGTTTGAATTTTCTTATATGGTGAAAATTCGCCCTATGGGTGCGTAAATCTTTCAATGTGTTACTTGGCCAGCAAAGTGGGACACATTTCTCACCTTTCGGTGCGAGATGGCCCAAGTGGTTAGAGCGCGAATTTACTGACCGGAAGGTCCGTGGTTCGAATCCGACCTCTGCCACTCGACTTCCCCTGTGTAGGCTTGGGCGACCTGACAGTATCCCAGCCCTCGTGCCTCCTTCGTGTGGCATTGGCAGCTAGCACCGAAAGGTTGGCTAAACACAATGACTGAATGACTTATTTTCTCACCTTTCGTTCCGAATTCTGGTTGGAATATTTTTGTAAGTTAGGTAACCGCGCATTCCATCTGTATTTGTCTCCTTTTTCCCCGGTTTCAAAACTATAGGTCAAGATTCTTCGCCTCATGCGCGTTCTGGGCCATGGAGACAAGGCAGCCAGCGAAGCGATGAATGACATCCTTGCTCAGGTTAGTTTGATTCTCTCTCAGGCCATAGATATGCCGTCGGCGATCTGGAACACACTGGTCTATCCCCAGGGTCCACTCAGCGTGGCTTTTTCCAGTGTACTACGTAGGCGATCTCTCTTAATCGACCCTTCCCTCCTATCCACACACTGGACAACCAGCGTGAAATTTATGATGATCAGTCGTGTAGCTTCACCCCTGATTGCCCCGAGGTAACCGAACCAAACTAATCAATCACAACTAAGTGGTTTCGGCGAGCACTTCGTCGTGCGTTCTGTTTGAACAGGGTCCTATTCTTTGGTGGTTCCCAGTTCTCACAGTCGGGTCACCACATCGGGTGGTTAGGAGTAGAATGAGGGCTCCGCACCACCGTTCAGCTGACTAGCAAATAGAAGCGCCATTGGTCCGTATGGATTTACTTTCAGTCTTCTATATCGTTTTTCCGAATGCTAATCGACGTCTTATATCAGGACATCCAAGTAAACCATTGTACAGCTAGACATACCTGTGTGGTACTGAAACTAACTGTATGCTATGTGCGAAGAAGTTGGTGCAACCGTGGATCTTGGCGTTCGCAAGATACGTTTGTTTTCAAACTGTAGTTACTGTCACTATCAGTTGGCTCAATCTAAAATTATTACCACTTTAACTGACATGTGAAGTCCTTTAAAACCCCGATAGTACGCTTTTTATCGGTATTCTTTTCATTTGTATGACTGTTCAAAAACTCACTTGAATTTGAGTCCATCGCGCTCACAGTTTGTTGAACTGTAGTCATTCTAAGGTAGCCCTCAGACAGACAATGTGCTCGGTGCGTGTCTTGAGCAGCCCGCAGAGGACTAGCTGATATGACAACACTGATGATCGCCTTCATGAAAATATCTTCCTCGTTCACATATTGCTTGCGAGAAGCCATGCGCCTCCTATTTTTTCCGAGATAGCTCGGTGTTTAAGACACGAGCTTACCAACCGGAAGGTTTGTAGTTCTTACCCAACGCCAACGTCTCTACTCCTCCGATCTAGGGTTGGATAACCCAGCAGTATATCAGCCCCCGTGCCTCCTTCGGGTGGCATGGCAGCGGGGCGCCCATAGTGTGTTACAACTGAACGACTATTACTCATAGTTATTCTCCTTCCCGTAGGCCAGGCTGTCGTCGTAGCTCTAGCCTCATACGCTTACCACAAAAAGATGGGACTTCTTGTTTACGGGCCAGATAATTGGAGGCTCTTTTGAGAGGATTCATGTGCTACCTTATGATTACCACGCTAGATCATCTTTCTTGAGTTTCGGTTTCAACCTCCCATCTAACTTCGCATTACCATGTAATAGAAAACATGCGCTCGTGACCACAGTTGTTTATCGATGGCCTCCATGTCTTCTTTCAAACTTTCAGGTCGCCACAAATACGGAGACCAGCAAAAATGTGGGACATGCCATCCTTTACGAAATCGTTTTGACTATTATGGGAATCGAATCTGACCCTGGCCTACGGGTAAGCGTGCTTTGTTTGTTGTCCGCTGACGCGCTTGCCAGCGAAATATCTTCCACTTCAACTATCATTTTTGCTGCTTTTAATCGTTGATGACGGTTTTATTCGGCTAGTTTTTCTTTACGTTCGCCGTGCGAATTGTTCCATCTAGTCTATAATCGATTACTGGAGTTGGTGGTTCCGCAGTTTGTGACTCACGTGAACGTGTTGTTTCGTGTTTGACACGCACAATCACTCATGGTGATCTAGGAATAACACTCGTCAAACCCACACCGCCCTGTTATCTCGACCACTTATCCGTCGGCAAGTGTGTATTCATGTGTGGCACAATTTGCGCAAGTTATTTCAATTTTCACAACGGCAAGTTATAAATTTATGGAACCTCGGGAATGTCTGCGGCAGTTTTTTCGATCGTCCTGTGTCCTCTCTCTCCGCCAGTACCCTGGCTATATAGGCTGGATGATTCCGTATTCGTTCTTCACTTACACTCGAACCAGTATGCGTAAAAGAACAGTCCACTTCAACGGAGTCGATTCGAATCCAAGAAGACGTGACAATGACTGGGCCACTGATATGTCGGGCAGTTGCGCCACCAGCGGAAAAGATGGCACTGGCTTGCATGACCCAATTTTGAGTCCTATACTCTACCTGACCACCTTACAGAAGGCCCTTCAATACAGACCTAGATGTTCTGTTTAGTGTTGGTTCTCATAGCATATCAAAGCGAGTCCGTCGTATGCGTGAACTGGGCGTTCGAACCCCCATTATCTGCGCTTACGCTAAGCTAAAAAATACACATGCTACTTGCCTGTGTTCAAAAACAGGACCTGGGTTTTAACGACAACGCTGAACAGAAATAATGTAACGGCACTCTTATTTGGGCAGCCTCGCTAAAACCTCATCTCGCTACAACCCTAGCTCGCTGTCACCTGTCGTCGGAAAAGTGAATCGGTGTATTACAACAAGTCTTAGTCATGCAGATGACCGAAATCCGGTTTTCTTGTTTATCAGTTAAAAAAGTCAAATAATCCTGTGAAATTCGTCCCGAATTTACTCATTTTGCTAGCCGAATCTAACTGCCTCCCGCTTCAAGGCTTGCCGCCAAGTAAAACTGTTCAACCTTGATGTCGTCCGTGTTTCCCTTGCTAACTAATGACATTCATTCGTGCGCGAACCACGATTAAATCTCCCTTCCTCGCACAGGTCCTCGCGGTGAATATTCTCGGTCGTTTTCTGTTAAATCCGGACAAGGATATCCGCTACGTTGCTTTGAACACATTGCTACGCGTCGTTCATGCTGATTGTAAACCGGTACAACGGCATCGCACAACCATCATAGACTGTCTGAAAGATCCAGATGTCTCCATTCAAAGGTAAATGGTTATTTTGCACTTTTCGCCCCGATGGGTTTTCGCCCCTCATTTGCCAGTTTGTTCACTGAATTTCCGGAAATTCCGTATGCATACCAACGAGTCGGAAACAACCCATGATTGCTTCATTGAATGATCCATTTGGTACTCAAACGAATAACAAAAACTTGTCCCCCCATTAGAGGCGCGCTGATCGGTTTAGCAGTACTGGCCCGCAGTTTGGTAGTCTTCACTGGTGTTATGGTGGTTAGCGGTTTGACATACTGGTCATCCAATTTCGTTGGAGAAGACGCAAATTCACCTTGTACTGTTGTTATCAATGTTACATTATTACCAACTCAGAAGCGCACAGGTTTCCCTACTTCATCTGAAGTCGCTTAACTACTTATGAACCGACGGACTTATGGTAACTCGTCCGAACAGGTCTATCAGAAAATACGTCGTGACTGTGATCGCTACAGTGGTCTGCTGTTCTATGGTCTGACCTAACCAAACATTGCTAGTGGTGATCAGGACGTTTTTTATGTAGATGTTTAGACAGAGCTTCTTGGTTCATTGATTTATGGAGACCGCGGATTTATTTACACTTAGGCCACAACAAGTGAACTGGAACGTGTCAGTCTGGTGACGCACAAAGTCGTAGCCCATCGTGTTCGCTTGTCATATGTATGGGGGGATGATTACGTACAATTTGTCACGATCCTTGTTACCTAATTAGATAATAGCTTACATAACTTTATGCACAAACGCTTTTTTCGTAATTCAGTGTGATTCGACCCGTGCAACGGTATCGACTAACAAGGCGCAGTCAACTAATCGAATCAGTCGAATTTGTAGACCGCCAGTTAATCTACTTCTTCATTCATCGTATGAGAGAGTCAACCTGTATAGAACGTTCTCTCAGGTCTTTTGTTGGGAAGATTATTTCCGAGGCACGGTTTTTTTCAACTCAACTCCTAAAAAACCGTCGAGGAGGCGGTTTCTGATCTAACAGCTGGCTGGTTTACCATTTAAAAAAAGGTGTCGTTCAGCTGTAGCACCCTTCCGGTGCCTAGCTGCCATGCCACCCGGAGGAAGCACAAGGGCTGGGATACTGCCAGGTTGCCCAAGCCTAGACAGGGGAAGTCGAGTGCCGAATGTCGGGTTCGAACCACGGACCTTCCGGTCGGTAAATTCGCGCTCTAACCACTTGGGCTATCTCGCCCCCTAAGGTGTAAAAAAGGTGTCACAATGGGAATACCCTTTGCACTGTCCTAGATATACTGGTGGACGGTTAACTGGTAACGGTCTCTTTGAACGGTTAACTTCATACATGAAAATAATCGCGCCACCCGTCACGAAGGAACTTGACCTTACCGTGTTGTAGCAGGTACGACCCATTGAGCTATACTAAGGGTCTCCTTGCGACACTTACACATTCCCTCATACCAGGTTGGCCAATTATTTGAGGTCTCACCACGTCGTGGGTACAACCATGCTTGCGGGCTTGTTCTCTAAAAGGTGACCCGAACCTCTGTCAGATGGGAAAAGTCGCTCTTTCGAAAAACTCTCGGCAGTTATTCTGGGTCGTTTGCTCGTGGCAAACGAGAAAGAGGCGTTTCCGTACCGAGTGAGGGGTAGTTTCTTGATGTCTACAGGTGATACAGTAGGCTAGCATTTGATCGTTGCACACAACATCGTTGGCAACGCTATCGAACTGACGGAACCGATACAAGCTGGAATGATGTTCTTATCCGAGACGCGCGTCATTGAATCACCTGACCATGTCCTTCATCGTCGACACACCGGCATTCTTGCCCATTTGTAACCCGATTCAGCCGTCCAAATCGTGGCACTTTAGTGCTGTCAAAGGAATTCGCCGAAACGATGTTGTCAACCCATTTATCTGCTGTTACATGAAATGCATCTCGTGTACACACTATCATCCTGTACTTTGCTTCGTCCACTAAGTTTGAAGACTGTTTTCGTAGAAATTCTTCCGCTAGTTACGGGTGCACTCGATGTGGCTAAGATGAACACTTACCATTCTTCAGCTTTTTATCAACTTCCAACTTTCAAAGAGTGTCCATATCCCTGCACAGACCAAGCTTATTTACGTGGATAGCCAGAATTTAGTGTGGAATCCAGCTGGGACCAACGTTTCCCAGCATATCCCGAAAAATCTCCCCTCTTGTTTATCTTTGTAATGTACTGCTCATAAGCTTGCTGAAAATTCGTCGACAGCCCACGACCGGTTTCGCCCTTCTTGGGGCTCATCAGGTAGGCGCAGTCCCCGGTTTTCCGTCAACCTTATGTTCTACTTGAAACCAAATTGCACGAAATTAGCGAATATACACTCAGCTGCAAACTAATTTGGTTCTTTCGAGTGACTCACCTGGAACCCAGCTCAATCTCTCGTTTATGATGTTCTCAGGCTCCCCTCTTGCTGTTAGCACAACTACCAACCGAGTATTCCCACACCATCACTTTTTACTACCCTTTGCAGACGCGCGATCGACTTGTGCTTCGCACTGATCGATGGTACCAACGTTCGTCTAATGGTAAAGGAGCTCCTTCTGTTCTTGGAGAGATGTGATGCCGAATTCAAGGGCGACGTGTGTTCCAATCTGGTTTTAGCTGCAGAAAAATATGCACCGACCAAGCGTTGGCATATCGACTCGATGTTGAGCCTACTGAGCACGGTTAGTTGTGTTTTTTTAATCTCAAGTAAAGGTCGAAGTGCATAATACCACTGTATAAAATTTTATTGAACCGCAAATAATGCATAGGAGATTCTAGTGACTCCTGTATCGTCGTCGATATGGGCTGCGAGAAGTCACGGATTCGAATGACGTCCCGAAGTTTTGCTTCTGTTTTCCTTGTTTTTTTTTAGACTGGGAACTAGACGGCGCATTACTTTGGTAACCCTTTTGTCTCCCTTAAAATTACGCCCATTCACGCGACTGATCCAAATCGCTCCATGTTTTATTTTTTCTCTTGAACGGTATAGACTGTGAGCTACATATTGGTGGCACATCCTCCGTACAACTTTGGTAGAATCAACTATTACGAGCCATCTCAACTGCTCCGGTCTAGGCTTGAGGAACCTAGCAGCATCTCAGTCCTTGCGCAAACTTCGGATGGCGTGAAAGCTAGGCACCGGAAAGGTCTTACGGCTGAACGCTTATTACGGCCATTACTAATTAGTATTTGAAACAATCTTATAAAAGTCTGCCCTTATATATATACCATCTTGTCAGCATCCAAACTAATTGGTTGAGTTGGGATGCCATCCCAGGAATATATGAGCTAAAAAGCTCGTCTAGTACAAGATAGGCACCTGTGTATGCACAGGTTTATCCCAGTCACTCAACAAACCAATCCCGTGGACTAAATGATTCCTCTTCCTGGCGATTTTGCATTCTGAGGTGCGTCTTGGCTTTGGTGATTCAACGGTATTCATCACCGTCCACGTCGCGACATTTGTTAGACGGATTTCCGCACGAAAACCGCCTTACTCCTCACAAATAAGTGCTGCTACGGCCAAGTAGCCTATCCCGCACCCCATTGACCGGAAGACTGGGTTACTTGCTGGTTCAACATCAAGGCGAGCTCCCAGTACACGACTGTGTAATTTCGCTCGCTTGTCTAACATAGTGGCGATCCTCGTGAACTGGACAGGCAAATTATCCTTCAGTTCATCTTGAACGGACACCTCGTTTGACAAAGTGGCCCCTATCCATAAATGTCCTCCGGGGTTGTGTCTCAGAATGTCTATTAATGAGTACGTTCAATAGATCGCAACGTGATACTGGTTCCAGACTAAACATGGACCAAATGGTTGTTTATTTAACTCGACAATACTGAGCTAAGGCTTAGGTCGTTTTTCTGAGTAAGCAGGGCATCCTCTTGGGTTTTGGAACCCATTTCCGTCCGTAACTTTCTCCCTTACGTTGTTTTGGACTGAGCGGAGATTAGGGCGGCATATTGATTGTTGATCGGGCGACTGTGCATCTGTTTTCTGAGCTTAATGATCAGTTTGCAAACGTTCTTGCGCTATCATCAGTGGCTTCACTGACTTTACTGCATTACCTCACCCGAATTCGATCAGAAACATGACACTTGAAACGGATAATTTTCGCTCTGAAAGGCCAATTTTCGTTTAGCAGCTGCTTGGTTTGGTTGTTCGGTTGTATTCAAGGCCTTGTTTTTATTTAGCAAACAAGTCACAGTTCTCCCTTAGTTATCGATATTTCTACCTAATCCTAAGCCATCAGTTTTTATGGTTGTCCAACTCCAACCACTCGAAGTTCTTGCTTTTTACGAATCTTCACTGTTCTCCCTTGGGTGCATTTTCCCTCCCGCCTGCATCTAGACAAAACAGTTTTATCGTGGATGATCGTCTTGCCTGTTCGGTGTTCTCAGTATTGCCGAATACGGCGCCACCTTCTACACAAAGCAGTCCTTTAAAAACAAACCTCCATGAACAACGACAGAGTTGTCTGATACCATCAGAGGTGTCTAAACCCAACCTCTATAGGCGAAAAACGGTTAATTCACCATGGTTTAAAGTCATTCTTGTGCATACACAAAACTATAATAACAACTGGAATATGTAGTAGATCAGTTTGAGCGTCCGGCACCGTGCACATCAGTCGGTGCTGTTGAAACTGTGACTTTTAAATAGTTTTCCCCAATGTATAAAGCAACGCTCGTTGCTCGTTTGGCCCCGTGTCATTGAGCTGTAACACCCTTTCGGCGCCGAGCCGCCATGCCACCCGAAGGAAGTACGCGGGTTGGAATACTGCAGGGTCACCCAAACCTAGGAAGAATCAGTCGAGATGCTGAGGTTGGACTCGAATCACGGACCTTCCGGTCAATAAGTTAGCGCTGAGCCATCCCAAAGCTCGCTAATCACTTTCATACGTGTCCGCCTGAAGTTTATCAAATCATCGGTATGTCAGACTAATCCTTCCGCCCCGTTAGAATGTGTCAAGAAGCAATCATGTGCTGAGACCATTTTGTGGGATAACGCTTGAGTCAGTTGGTGGATGGTTGAGTGCAATTTCACTCGGACTTTCGATCGGCCAGCTGGATGTTATAGCTAGTAACAAACGAAATCGTTTCCCCATTCATCTCAAAACATTTTGCATCCGTTACGTCACAGTTTTGGCAACACCATAAGTGAGATGGGCAACGTTGATGAAAAAGTGACATGAGTTTTACAGTGTGGGGAAAAGGAGTTTGTAAATATACTTCGAAAAATGCTTTCATTTTCATACAAATTTGGTCTTGACAACAGGCTCAACTGAATTCAGCTGAATCTCTCGTTTATGATGGAAGACTTAGGTGCTACTGAAAAATTCATTTTCACCAGGTGATGACCGTAACAGAGGGCAGGTATGGAAAAACACTATCCGGTCTCATAACTTTTTAGACCCCGATCCAATCGAACTTATTTCAGTGCCCATGTTCTTCTCCGACCAGGATATACATTTCTGTGTCAAGTTGTCATCGTTTTACTTATCCATAGGCTGGAAACTACGCGCGTGACGACGTCGTGTCCTCGCTGGTTGCGCTAATTTCACAAACACCAGATCTGCATGCGTACGCAACTTTCCACTTATTCAACGCACTACGTTCGACAATGACTCAACAGCCGCTTGTACAGGTTCGTTTACACTAATACCATAACTTTTACCATTCTTACCATTATTCGTTTTTCATTGGTCACTGCGGCGAAATTCTGCAATGTGCGGTTACACGTGACCCCTTGTCAATGTTTTCTATTTCCTCGGTTCGCTGCCCTGTCCACTACCAGTTTCTAGCTTTTTTTCTTACCAGACGACTGCCTGGCATTTTCCTAGTTGAACTAGGTCGTAGAAAGCAGCTAGTTGTCAATCTCATATTTGTTCTGCTCGACCGCCGCAGGTATTCTCATGGGGACTACGTCGCTGTTCGATTTCTTATTAATGTCGAACCCTTTTTCTGCATTCGTATTTCTGGTGGTGGTCGGCGAAATGGTAATGTAGGCCACTTCCCAAGATACCCAGTGATTAGTATTCACTCTTCAATAGCCTTCTACCGCTGACCTGATCTAGTTACCCGTGTGAGCATTCCGTTTGTCGAAATTCCTCTTGCATTGGCGGCGTTAATTGATACGTTTGCTCAACTTTTCAGGTTGCTTCTTGGACTATAGGAGAGTATGGGGATCTCTTGTTGTCCGGCTGTGATAACGGGGACAGCCAGATAGCGCCGGTAGCAGAAACAGAGGTGATCGAGGTGTTGCGACAAGCCCTTGTCCATCCAATGTCTACGGTTCAAACAAAGGAAATGGTGCTCAACGCTCTGGTGAAATTGACCACGAGATTTTCCACTTCCTGGCTGCCGTAAGTTTTGTCAAAGCCTTTTTTGGCTCGTTGCGCGAGTTTCCACCCATTCTGCATCCAGCTTTGGTTGAGTTATGTTTGTCCGTAAAAAAGTCTTGACGTTTCACCAACTGAGTAAGAACAATGTACATACTCGGTCTGCTCCTCATCAGCGTACTTGTCGTAAAGTGGTTGTAGCTGTCACAGTTTCGTTCACTGACCTAAAGCTGACACCTTGACGTGGTGGTCGGGCTTGAGTGCTGCAATGATCCCGCGGGCTACACTGGCTGTAACTTCGTTCCACAAGGTGTAACCATTCCAGGAAGGCCAAAGGGGAGCACCCAGACTAAGAGCAGCGAGTAATCATGCTACGAGGCGGTCAGGGGGTAAAGTCTTAATGTCTTCTGGGATAGGAGTGTGAAGGCAGTAAGGTGTTCCCCACAGGCAACCAGCATGTCCATATTTATGGAAGCTGCGGTGCTGCCTTCCCCCCAGGGAGGGCGGGTTAGGAAAGTCGGCTCCAAAAACCGCACGTTCCGATCACCCACTGGTTAGCCATGACCGCCGGCGCATTATCCAATACAGTCGAAATCTTTTATGACCAGAAAGTCCGGTACTGTTCAAAAGGTACCTACTTGGCGCAGGAGTGAGACAATAATTCCTTACTCCCTGCACCCTCAGGTTAGGCCGACTCTATGCAGCCGAGTAGGTCAGACTTTTGAGTCATCGGCTCCGGGCAGGGTTCGCAAAGAAAATTCTATCTGCTGAACACTGATGACATTGTGCAGCTTGTGTATTTAGCTGTCTTATTAGTTCCTTACCACCCTGACAACCCGATCATGGTTGGGCTCCTCATTCATAAATTGGATTCATGCCGCTGCGACATCTTCTCGCTGACGGATCTACCTATACGGCTTTGTGGAAGCACAAGTTTTCTTTAGGTGTTTCGCTTTTCTCGTTGATCCCGCTCTCTATATCCAGTTTGAAGTTACCAGATGGGAACAGTGTGACACCGTTGCAATATTCAGACACCCAAGCTAACGATATGTGCGGATATTGACCGTCCAGAAGCCGTTGTTAGTTGGGGACACCTTTGGATTTACCCCCCAATCCAGAAGTTTAAATATTTCAAACAAACTGAGGCTTTCGTTTGATGCTGAATCGGTCATCATCATCATCATCATTATCAACAAAGACAAACACATCAGCGGTTACACTGATGCTTCACTGCCGTAGAACCATAAGGTTCGTCTAATTGTATTTCAAGCCCTAGAGTGAATGGAGGAGGAAGAGTGCGCGAGGTAGGGGTCCTAGTGCTGGTCTATGCCAAACATTCTGAGGTGCCTGCACTTCCAACCGCTCAATCAGACAATCCGGAGAGAAACTGACAGCGCGTACGCCACTGACATCAGTCAGCTACCATTTCCTGCAATATCCCCGGCCAATCACAGGTCACGGCGACCCCATCCTGAAAGACGCACAACACCAACAACACTCAAACTCTTCGTGATCTCTCTCTCACTTTCTTCTGCTAAGTCATGCGTTGTCCACCTCGCGTTTTGCGCCATTCTGAAGGCGGCGCGGTGGACAACACTCATCTCGGTAGATGGTGTTTCGGCATGCGTAGCACATGACCGAGCCATCGTAGTCGGTGGTGTTGGATGTTTTCCCCGACTGAGGTACGTGCAGCACAACCAAATACCCGTTTTCCAATTCTCCACAGCCTCCAGTGATTCTCCTTGAGCTGTAAGGGATATGTTCGGAGACTGATTATGGGGATCGGATTATGTCCACAAACTTCTGGGACATGCCCTGTTGAGCAAGTGTAGTTAACAGTACTGACCGATAGACAAAATTGAACGCACCCTTGAAGTAAAGGAATACCAAGATTGTGGGTCGTCTGTACATGTGGCTTTGGTCTAACACCTGACGGAGTGTGAAGATGTGGCCTCTACCCGGTCGAAATCCTTCTTTATTCTCACGCGTCAAACTTTCGCGTGCCACCGTAAGATGACGAAGAATCTGTGATGCCAGAAGCCTTGTCAAACTAACACCTCTGTGGTGACTACATTTACTACGAATATCCTTACTGAATCGGTAGTTACGTTCATCACTATCATTATTGACAGCAACATCACTGGTGCCTCATTGCCACGTCACACCGCGTCATTTTATGTGAATAAAGCCCTATAATGGAAAGAAGAAAAGCAAGATGTAGAGTAGGACCGAGGGCTGTTTTGACGGAATTCGATAGGAATCTTGCTATTCATGTTGTGCAGTTAAAAAATCTCATTTTAGAGTGTGCTTTTTCCGTCTGACTTCTCTTCAAGGAACAGTGTCGTTTCACTGGGCGGCGTGGCAATGGTATTTATTTTTGGCCACTTTCAGCCGACATTTTTCGCGCCAAACTTAACCGCGAAACCTGATAATTGTAATTTCACCATTTGGTGCACATATGAAACATGAATCGCACTTGGAGTGCTACCTCTAACGACCCTTCCTTCAAACACCCACGACCTTGTGGCTGTCGCCGCAATCGTAGAGTTACACTGTTCCTTCAGCAGTACTACCACGTCGGAGCTGAATTTGCTTGGATTTCTCAAAGTCGTAACACGACAGGGATTCCGGGTGTGACTCCCACGAAGTATGATAATCTTCCGATCTCCTTTGTTCCTTCGTTTCTACGCTTCACATACGAACTTGGGAAAGTTATGTTTCAGTGAAATCATTTCGAAGCACACAAAAGCAAATTGGATGGGTCAGTATAAATAACTTCAGACTCCTGTTCTACTGCGCTGTAAGAGGAATGTGGTACGCTGTCTGTCTGTGGATCTAAAACCCTGGAAACTGAGATTACTGTGATCAAAACTGATCTTATAAAGCATTTTGTCAGCCGACCCCCTTCATTTGCCAACACTTCCCCTGTAATATGTCGTGTCACATACGAGCGTCGCTCTTTAGCTATAGATGTAGATAAAGAAGTTACTGTAGTTGGATAATTGAAACTAGCTCAAACAACTACTCTGAGTGTCTGGGCCCTGCAAACTAGCACTTGGTTGAAGTAATCTTGTGTTTTGGCTAGTTTTTCCTTACTTGGATTTCCTCCATTCGACCCTACGTCGCGTCTGTTTGTCCTAGATCCTATCCGATTGTGTGTTTGTCCATCGCTTCCAGTTATGAGTGAGCTTTGATGTTCATACTAAATGCTCATGCAAAGGGAGGCTCAGGAAACAGCCGGTCTTTGCGAATATCGGCCATCTTATGTCGACTTTGTTTTGCGTGCAGTCAGGCTTACCGTCGAAGTTCCATGGTAACCATGCGCATGTTGTGTTGTCTAAATATTGCTAACTCGGCTAGGTTGATTGATTGTTGATCAGTTGGTGGTCGATCACTTTGCCGAGCTTCGCAGTCTGATTGAAAGCGTTTCGTCATCATGCGAGGAAACGTCAGCTCGCGGTTGGGTAGGTGATCCAAGGGGTAGTTAACATCCGCGACGTGGTTGGTTGGTTGGGAAGTGGAATGGAACAATCGGGATAAAGAACAAAAAGCCACCCAGTGAACCAACCAGATGCAATCGAATCACAATGCAACGCGAATCCTGAAATGATCAATCAGCTCAAGTGCCAGGCAAATCTCAAACAATCAATCGGAATCGCCCACCCAACCGCATACTAGCGATGTTTCCTCTCATGGTAGTGAAATGTTTTGCAAGCCAAGTGCAAAGCTCGGCGAACAGGTCAACAGCCGATCAGGATATCTTGTTTCCGCTCCAGTCTCTTTATCCTCATTAAATGTTACCCGGATGCTCTTGATTTTGAGTTACCTCTACGTTGAATGTCAGCAGCATAGTTAGTCCCGCCTTCGAATCTCTCCGTTCTCTATCACCATTCATATAGTCTGTAAAGTGGGATGAGTAATTGAAGATGATCATTTCAGTGACTCTATAGCCTGCACATTTTGCTTTCTTCTAGTCAACTCAACGAGGCCATTTCCTACTATTCGACTAATCCCCAGTTGGAATTGCAGCAGCGCTCGGTTGAGTACAATAAGATCTGTGCTCAACCCAGCCAAATCCGCTCCGGACTCTTAGACTACATGCCTATGATGCCCGCTCGTACGATTTTGGAAACCACTGAGCCAAACAATCAACGGAATCCAGCTGAATCAAATGACTCAAGCCCCAGGAAACTCTCCAATGGCACCCTAAACAACGGTGCCCCTCAGTCGTTGACAATTCTCGACTTACTAGGGCCGGAAACGGTGACACCCGGCACAACAAACCGTAAGTTTTTTATGTGTGGAATCGTGTAAACTACACAGTTTCTGGCTGAGTTGGCTCGTTCTGCGAAACAGGTAGTTTGAACGCACCCCAGGAGGAGAGTTATCGTCATGGGTATTATACACTAGGTCTTGGTTTGCTTGCTACGCTGTTGTTGACTCTTCTATAGGCCGGTCTACAAAGAATTCCCGCTTGGGCCATTACCGTGTGTTTTTGAATATCCGGTCGGATTCCATCGCTTCTCTGGACTCGCATCCAGCATGAGAGGTGGTGATGCACTTGGTTAGTGCTAGTGAAGAAGAACTTACTTTTCTAATGCCCACACTGAAATTTTCTTGAGCCTCAAGCAGCTAGCATTTCCGAACTCTTCTTTTGATCGTCGTTGGCTGTTTGACAGCCACAGACCTTCCTCTTCATTTTAGAAGTACAATAAAGGCTCACCTCTGCCAAACGGATACCACTTGCTCAGAGGTTGTCTTCTGTCAAAAATGCCTCTGTGTTTATTGGTTAGTTTATCCATTATCACCGATTTCTTTGGCTCAATTGACTTGGTTTGAAATGATTCACTTTATTGCGCAGCTCGTCCTCAGTGACCAATAGTTTGGATTCGCTGAGTCAGATAAGATTTCCATCCAATCGTTCGATAAGTCCTTTCGTTGGGAAGATTGAAAATCCTTCTCACGTATATCTTTAATTTACTTCGCACTTTATCAGCTCCAGTCAACAGTGAAACGGCAAACAGTACTGGCGATTCTTCTAATCTGCTTGATCTCCTGGACATATTTGCACCGAGTACAGACAATAAGACTTCTGCTGTTGCAGCACCCTCCACTGGCTGGGGATTACCTGTCACCAACGGTGTGACCTCCGCCTCCACGCAATTGACCAATCAGCAAACTTTGGATGGTTTGTTCGATATAAGCAATGAGCTCTCTGCCCTGGGTTTGAGTGGCCCTCAAAGTAAGCTGTTTAAACATGCATTTGTATTCACATTTTCTTTTCATTTTTCTATGGCGTACTGCATATCTGTTGATTTGGAAGTGCGCGTCTGTATTGACCAATTCACGTTCATTGCCTCTTTTAGCTTGATTTTGGCTAATCTAGTAACTCTCACTGATGAGGTCGAGTTTCAGCGTAGTCGTCAGATGTTAGTGTGTGTAATGGTTACAATGACCGTTAGGCCGATGCTATTGTTTTGGGGACTGTGACCCTCTTCGTTACTCGAATCGGTCGGTTCGCTACTAGCTATATGGCTGCTGGAACATGTGTTGGCCTGAACATCGTCAATTTGATACTGCTTTGCTTACCTAAATGGATCAGGCGGTATTCCAGCTAGATGTGCCCGATTTCTTCACTTGGCCAGACAGTCAGATCGGTTGTTAGTCGCAAATGCTGGATTCGCCTTTACGTGTTTGACTATGGTTGTTGGTACATATGATCTGATTCTCCCTAATCTGATACGGTTCGCCATTGGAGAGCAGGTCAATCGAGCTACTAGTTGAACTGTTTCCACTTGGAAAAAAGGAAAACTATCTCTCGTCACTGCTTCCGGGTTCGAACGACCGACTGATAGCACTTTCAAATCGTTTGTTAGTTCAATACTGGTTACTCGGTGTTTACCTGGTATTCAGTAAATTCCTCAAGTGTAGCACAGTTCTGTTGTCAATCACCATATGATCTGTAGGTAACCGGCAGGTTGCTAAGTTCAACTAGATGTTAAGAGGATTATTGCTATCCTTGCACATATTCCTGACCAATCCCCGCATCATGACTGCTTCAGTTCTATGAGTCAGGTTTGTGTAACCGCGTTACTTCTCTCTGTCTTCTAGCATCAGCGAAGTCTATACCACCTTTGACGGTGTGCGACACCAATGGACTCAGGGTTCTGTTCAATTTTGACCAGCCACAGTCAAGTCCCGACGGAACGCAACGGCAGCTAACAATCCGCCTGGTGGCGACAAATACTGGTCCCGATCCTATCGAAGCTTTCGAATTTCAAGCTGCAGTACCGAAATCTTGCCAAATCCAACTTCTACCTCCGTCATCCAGTAGCATTCAGTCTGGTCTGACTGCCCCACCGCTAACGCAGCTGCTAAAGCTCTCATTGCCAATGAAGGTTGGTTTCAGATACGCGTTTTCGTAGGGGGAACGATTGATGGCTACATATCGAATTCTCTTATTGATTCGAGTCCTCTAGGGCATCACGAGGCTTTCTTTTGCCCTACATTGAACAAAACCTCAAGCGATAAGGAACAGTAATCCGATGACGATTCATAGGTTAGGTTGGTGGTATCCAGGGAGTGGGGCATTACTGGTATAAACTTATCGTAAAACCTCACAAACTTATTCACACAACCGGCCACTCCTCCAGCAGCAGCCGATCGCATTCATTGAAAATATGGCAGGCTGAATACACAACTTGTGCGGATGTATTCATTCACTTCGCTTCAGGTCGTGCCTAGTCGTGTGATTTCCTTTTTCAGTTTTTCATCCCACCACGTGTTCGCCCATCAACTCTTATTTGATCCTTTGATTGTTTGCTATGGCACTTTGGCTGACCCATTCTGTGTAGAGTAAGCAGGAAGAGTTTTGGGTTTTTCGTCCACTACGTGTATTGATCCCTCATACGTTCCTAGACCTACAAACGTGATTATCCCTGGTACACCAAAACGTGCCCAGTGTAGCGGAAAACATATCCAACTGTTTTTGCTACATGTCATTTTGTTTGTGTGTAATTCCATTCATACCTATAAACGAAATATAATGAAACACACCCCTTCAGCACTAGACTGGATACAAATGGAAATCGCAGGTCAGTATTACAGATAAGTACAAAGGAATCAGAATCATGAGATGAACCATCAATGATCAATGAGATCTTTTCGGCCGGAGTTTCCACCAACTGCATCCGTAGTATCTTATTAGTAGTACCTTATGTAGTAACTCAAACCAAACATTGGACGACCTTTGCACAGGAGACTCAAGTACGTTATAAACGAGGGCTCATTTGAATCTCAGCTGAACTTCACGCCTCCACTCAGGGAGAAGTTCAAACTCCAAATATATGGGGGCATTTTCTCTAATAAAAGGATATCCCTGTTGATGTTCATCGTCTTTCCATCGCAATCCCATGTTTTCAGGTGGCTCCTCGTATGAGAGTTCGGCTACAGTATACGAAAAGAGGGATCCCAACGACGGAGCAACTTCAGTTGGATCAGTTTCCGACGATCTTGTGGCAATGAGCTTGTATACACACTCTTGTTTGTGCATTGTGAACATCTCATTCCTGCACAATGCGTGCTCGGATATTCCCAGTGTATCATTGTTTGAACGCGTTGCTGTCCTACGTGACTTATCTGACCGTTTCTCTCCAGTTCTTCGACCAAGACCCTATCTTCATATCATCGCCTTTGAAGTGTGTTTAGGTGATACGTTACAGGAACACAGTTTTCTTGCTTACAACAATCTACTGACTTCTCTGCCAAACTACTTTCGCCCTCCCGCGCCGTACATTTTGTCCAGCGGTTTGTCCTATTACTACGTTCGACTTCGAAATTGACTGATACAACAACATAAATGTTGTCCACCACCAGGCGTTCTCTGTAACTCCAGCTACTCAGTTGTCCTCGTAATGCAATGAAAGCTGCGCCGCTGCCGTCACTGGATTGCCGCACTACTTGACATCACACTGATGGTTGTTCGTGATGGATTGGAAGCCTTTTGGGTGCTACTTACTTACCCTTGTCTTCAGAAGTTCAGAACTCTTCCTATGATCTTCACCTCTTAATGCGGCCCCTTGGGCAACCAAGTGCGCGCATAGACTTTGTTCCATTCAGTTTACCAAGTGTTTTTACTTTCTCCCCCGTCCAATTTTCGTTCCTTAATTCCCACCAACCAACCAGGCTGTGCTTTGATAGCTGTGGCAGTCAACAATTGCCGCATATTTTTTCTTAAGTGGAAAACATCATCATTATACCTTTGGTATTTTGTCCCACTGATCGTTGTTGGTCTTTCGTAATCTTCACACAAGTCTCTCCCGCTCTACTCACCTGCAGTTCAACCGTACAAAATAAACAATAAACTTTCAAGACGCGGACAGTACTTATCGATCCTACCTTGGGGCGTCATGCTGGTTCGCTTAACCAGTAGTACAGCTCAAGAATAGGCGCCCGAACGAAACAAGAGTATTCTGGAATTTGGGACATATCCACAATCAGGTAGATCAAACCACGGACTACCGACTAGATAGTCCGTGGGTTGTTCCCAACCCCGGCTTTCCCATAACTCCTGTCTAGACTTGGGCGACCTGGCTGTACCTCAGCCCTCGTGCCCTTTTTGACTTATGCACTGAAAGGGTACTGGTAATCGAGCCGAATGGCCATACTTCTTCAAGGAGTAGTTTCGTAGTTTTTACCTCGAAACACTGAAAATTCGCGGATACGAAAGCACATGCTTGGTTGTTAATCTGTTCACCGATATTGGCAGGTGGATTGAAAACGGTTCGTCCTTCGATGTGACATCGTTGGTGCGGGGTAGACGATGTCGCATCGAGTGGTTATGAAGCGTTTGCAATCCAACTGCCTGGCTCGATGAGCAGACCAACAACCAAGGAGCGCACCTGGGCTACCTGTATTTCGCGAATTTGCCGATGGCACATCCGTATATCTATATGCCCAGGGTCTGTACCTTTTTTCGTGTCAATACCTCCCAGTATTTTTAAAAGTGGTAAATGAAGTATCTGTTACACGAGCGCGTCAGTTAGTTTTCGTGCCAGAGGCTAACAACTCATCATCAAGAATTTAAAACAAACAGTCTCTATCCATTTCGTTAAAATAGACTAGATGTGATCAGCCAAGATTATTCCTCCAAGATAAGCCGACTCGTGTGATTGATTTATCTTGAACATAGCCACTGGTTGGTTTTTGGTCAGTTATGCTGCTTAGTCGAGCAATGGCGATCCTATGGGTGATTGAAGTCGTGCACGAAGAAGAATCTGCGAATCAAATAGACTACATACGGGGTCATCTGAGCTGCGTTATGAGGTAAACACCGTCTGATTAATGGAACGCTGATAGCTAAGGTGAACATGCCTAACGGGTTCTAAACCCAGGAGGTTTCGTGTGTGCCAAGGGAACGTCGAAATCGGATGCTACTTGTGAGGTATGACGGAGGTCCTAATAACGATAATGGTGTGCATTTTTTGGCCCCCACTGTATCGAGATTTCGGTGAGCTCGTTCGTGCTTATTTGCATTGCCAGCAACACGAAGAAATCTGTAGCTAAGTACCGTCTGTGTGATTATCCAAAACTGACCGTCTGTCTGTATTGGTTGTGCATGTGTTTGTTCCATTACCGACAAGCCCAAATGGTGGATCATCTTTCGTAATGGGTGGAGGCCATCCCGAATGAAAATCAAACTGCTGAAACAGTGGCGCTGTTGGGCACATCTGAGATAGTGGCTACCAATCAGAGGTTCCATGTCTTGAACCCATTTTTTCAGAGGTGTTACTGCACTAGAGGGCCTACGGACTGAAGACATCTTTCAACAATCCTCGGGAGTAACTCTTGGGTTCAACCGTAACCACTCGCCATTCTGCTTAGAGTGAGAAGCTCGGGGACGTGGTCCTCAAAGGTTGTGTAATGAGGAGACCATCTGATCTAGTCTGTAGGCGCGAGGAGAGAATGGTGTTTGATGTGTCCGGATAAGCTGAGTTAACCAAAGGCGACGCGATGTTACTCGATTCCTCAGCGAGCAGCACGAGCAGGAGATACCGTATCAGAACACATCTAACGTGACCGGGAATTCCGCGTTCACTTGAGGTGATTTATCATTTACCTGTTTGACCATTCGCAATAAACAACCGAATGGACACCCACTCAGCTCGCTACACTGATTCGTAAACACGCACTGATGTCATTCCAGTTGGCTCGGGCAGACTGAAACGTCGAGAAGCACGGTACAGCTGTTTCATCCTTATCGGGTATCATCAGCAGCAAGTACTTTACAAAACTTCATGGAGTTTCGAATCCGCAGTAAACGACTTTTGATGGTCTCTTTCAGGCGGCATAGTAGGCAATAGTAGGAAGCCACTTTGCTTGCAGTGGCGTTATGAATGGCCTTCTACGATGACCAGAGTTCAAACCAGAGCCAGTCGTAATGTGGCACACAGATGACCTATACGAAGGATCTGCAAATGGGATACCCTACTGATAAATGAATTACTGTGATACTGTAACATGAGCCGACCTAATTCGTGATATCATTGTCTAACCTGGGGATCCTTCCTTGGATCATCACTTCTATGTGACGAGCGAACAGAAGCTTTTGTTGTATGTCAGTCATGGAAGTCAATCCATGCCAAAAGAATGAGCAGCACTGTACAGCTGTTCCCTCCTACCTGGAGTCACCAACAGCTTTCATCCAGTGTCTCCATGGAAATTTGGATCCCTAACATTCGATTACAAGTCGAGGACTAGGCCCCTTAACCACGCAGGGCTGGTCAACAATGTGGTTAACTCGTATCCAGACAGGTTATATTACCACTGAGCTTTCAATCAAAGGATCTGCATCCCATGGTCACGTGTTGCCTGGTCGTGACAACTTCTAGGATGGGGCATCTCAGGATTCGTTTGAATCAACTGTCAATTCTAAACTAATTATAACTGGCTGATAGTATGCGAAGTGAGGGGTGGTTTTGTATTGTGTGTAAAGTTGTTTTGTAGAAGGTCCATGAAGGTTTGGGAAAAAAATCGGTAGATTTGTTGTTGGGCAACGTTCAGCCTCTGACACAAAAGCTTCGTCAGGTCAAATGACTGGGTTACGGTGTTGGTCAAGATTTAAGTCAGAAGGTGACCCGATCACCTAGATCGGTGTCAACTAAGCTATTGTGTTAGGGCGCGTCAATAGTTGTTGAGACCAATGAGGAACTCACATGGATTGGGGTCTAGCTTAGGGTCCAGTTCCTCAGATTCGCTTCACGTGAAGATCCCAATTGAATGTCGCTTACAGTTTCTATCGATCTGTGTGGTTGAGCTAGTGCCAAGACACTTGTGTCAAGCGAACGATTCCACGAACTGTGGTCTTTTTGGGCTTTGTAGCTCTTGACCGCAAATGATTCCATGTATAATGACAACCACAAAGCGTCACGTGTCAACTCGGCTTATCTAAGACCACTTTCCATGCGCCTGATAGCTCTACGTCTCAATTCTATTGATACTCTAACGTTTATCGATTTCCACCGCCTCGGCCATCAGCAACTGTGGAACCAATCGCAGTTCCCGTCCTAAAACTTCTACATTTTCAAGATCTATTCTATGTCTAACGTATGTACCGCCACTGCCGAGTCTTCGACCAGCACAGGGTATTCGTCCGCATTCCTTAGTGGCTTTTTTGTCCTTCTCTTTTGCTTGCCAATTCTGGTGGGTAGTGCCGTGGTTGTTTTCTCCTATGTGGAAAATAGTGCAACCGTTGCATTCAGTGTAATGCACAGTCTCTAGTCCTTTCAACTGCACCAAACTGAGCTTAACGTCCCCCTTCCTCTTCTGGAACACTACTGGAATGTTGGCATTTTTCCTGCCTTATATGGAATGACTGCTGTGCCAATTCACTTCTTACTACGTCTTGATACTGCTGCCTATACCCTTTTTAGTTTCCGCCTAATCAACCTCACTGAGTATCCAATTTCTTGAAGTCTACCAGTAGGCTTGATTTGAGCTGCTGTTCCGTCGACCTCTTCTATCTACAGCGCTCTGAGTCGATTAGTTATTGGTGAGACAACGCTGGCGTATACAGGTTTTGGATGTGTCTCTGAATGGTTTGAAACAGCCGTTGCGCCTGGTAGTTTCTAACTTACCGCCATCCTTATGTGTGCTACAGTACAGGAAGAGTAATGTAGTGAACGTTGTTTCCGTGCTAAGCTTGATGTGAGGATTCAAACTATTGAAATAGTCGTAGAAGTTGTCGACTTTTGATCACAACAAAGGTTTCCCCGACATAACGCTAAAACATTCTCGGCGAAAGATGATACCTGGCCAAGGCCATTTTTTCGAATTCCTCCATATTCGGATACTGGAGATCCTATTGCAAGACCTTGTTCTTGTATGTAGACAGCTGTGTCAAAAACAAACTTGTCAAGATTTAAACACACACCCTCATCTGTTTCACCGAGAGCTGTGTCCCTTCCTTAAGTGTCGTGTATATCAGTGACAACCTCTTGGTTACCTCCAAGGCATCCGCCCTGGGGATGTTTCTGTACACTGATATGAAGCCAAAGCTCAAAAGGACTTGGTACATCTCCACACGAAATCCTGCGACTTTATTGGCAAAGTCATACGACTTCCCAATGAATGTGGTTGATTTCCCCGTTAGTGGTTTTAGTATGCCGTCTGGTAATCTGACTTGTTCACGTGGTGGTGAACCTATACGTTCACTATTGGTCTTATCGGAACATCTGCCTTATGTATTTTTGGCAGTCCGTAGAGTCGTGGATGAATCGTACTTTTTGGGTACAACCGATGAAAACTACTTTACCCTAAATACTTTATTAGGGGCCTTGAATATCGACCAACTTCAACCTTGATCTAATTCCTTATTGAAGAGTACTATTGCCTTCAGAAATTGCCGATAGGTTTCGTCGGCGAGATATTGCTTGATCTTTTGAAGATAGCCGCACTTGTTCGTTACATTCATCTACCTTTATAATGGCACTATGTCAGTCTCAGTGTATTCAGTGCTCTCCGCTCTGACTGTGCATTATTTGGAGCTCCCGGTTGTTGGGATTTTCCATCCGTGACCAATTGTGCCCGTAGCTTGAGATGAAGTTTGAAACACATATTCAACACCATAGATAATTCCCTTCGCTCTTCTTTGCTCACAGCGAAGTTTACTCCTGTTTCCAACCTGACAAGTTAACTACGGCACAATAATGAGTCGACGGTTTCATTTTTTCTCTAACGTTAGTATAGCACTAAGCCAAGGAAAGCAGTTGTTCGAACTTACGTATCTGTCTATTCTTGAATTGCCAGTCCTGCGTAAGTTTCATCTCTGGAGTTTTGGCCCTGCGAATCTGGAAGTCGCCAGGTGAGTTTGCCATTTCAT